TGGCCACGTGGACATTTCTCAAAATCGCTTCATTTATGTTCCACAGAAGAAACGAAGCCATACACATTTAAAATGTGAAGTAAATGATAATTCTTGTTTGCGTGAACTATCCTGTTAGCACGGCTATAGATTAGTCAGACACAAACCCTTCGAACACAGAAGCATCGTCACACCTAGGATGCATTTCCTGCTGCTGTGCCACTCTGGTAACCATGCCGACCACACAGATGGCCAATCCAATCTATTCCAATCAGAGCAGTGGCCTCCGCCACTCTTGCATGGAATTATTAATAGCTGACAACCCCAGAGCCACATCAATCTCTCAGCAAAGCCATCATCAGCTGAGCTCATAATCATCCAGCTTGATGAAGCTCCCGTCCACGAGGCTCTCATTGGTCAACCGGGCGACTCTCCACAGTGAAACACGACCTCACAGCATCTGGAGGTCATGTCTGAAAAGGCCCCTAGATCTTGCAAACAACCTCTCTCATCCGTGTGATAGTGATGACCTCTAGGAAAACGGCGTGCCAGGTCGTGTCACACCGCAATCTGCTGTGATAATGAGAATTTCAGTGTTGCCGCTGGCTTCACGTTTAATCTACATTTTATTTCTGGAGTGTTTCTGTTTTTTTCTGCTTCCTTTGAACATAGGCAATGGATGAATGGAGGGATATATGAATGGATTTCTGATCGATCAGCTAGTACTGTTATAGTCAATGTTGCTTTAACCTGAAATTTTTTAATAGTCAGATTAGTTAATACATTTGAATGCACGTAATTGATCTTTTTAAATACTGTGCAGACTGTGACCACATAATTAATTAATTTGGGGTAATATTTTAAAATCAGCCTTTGAAAAACCCATATTGGATGACCACATCATGAATTGTGGACTCCTGTGGTGGTCCCTCAGTCTATGCTGATTATGGCCCTGGTACTTTTGACTTGAAGTGGGAAAATGTAATTTATTCAGGTCACCTTTTCAAGTGGTTATAAAAATACAAATGTTCTTCATTTTTCTGGGACAAAATTATACTGTTTCGCGAGAATGACACGGGGAATACATTTTCATTCCAGGGCCGTGGCAAGAAATTTTCTGACCTTTTTTGCTCTAAGAAATTATATGTTAATGGTTATGGTATTGGCGCACTAGATCTGCTATGCACACTGCTGCTGCAGAGCAAGTATGGACTCACTACTGCCAAGAGATACACAGACACACTGCTCTAAGCATGTAAGATATGATGCTGCTGTATGAATAGGCATACATAAATCTAGTTGTAGATCTAGACAGGTGGAGCTGGTGGAGGTGGAGGTTTTCGCATTCAGATCTCTCTATATACACACATCAAGTTGTGACAAAAATACACATCATCCAATTAGGATTCATTACACTTGTCATGTGGGTTTATAATAGTAGGTGTAAGCAATGTCACCTGCATCAACTTATTTCATTTGTCGGTGTGCAGGCAGTTGCTCTTTCCACTAGTTTGTCTGCATGCGAGGTGGCAGAGTGGATATTTTGATATCTGTGCAAATACAGTGCTGCAAACATTTTGAATAGTAATTATCTCAGTCTGTGAGAACAAGTATGAACGTGATATAAAAATCTGTTGGCGTCTTACTGCATGCTTGGGGAGAGAGTGAACAAGGAGCAAGTTGCCTTGGCAACCGAAAAGACTTGTATGCTCATTCAAAGCGGCAAATTAGATTTTTGTGGCCAACTGAGTTCGTTTGCACAGACTTCACCAGCTGATGAGCTTCTATTACCGCTTGTTCAATATCTTTTGAGATGTCAAAAGGAAAGCCAATACAGAAGCCCTGTGACTTTGTGTGGACTGAATAGAGAAAGACAGGGAATGTTCTATATTTGTCAAGCTTGATAATCTTGTATCCACTTTCATCTGTTCACAGGCTCCGATGGATTGAACAATAAGAGCAGAAGCCACGAATGGTGTCCACACGAAGGAGCGTGCAATAATTCACATGATCATAGGGAATCCCGTTAATGCCTTGCTATACAAATGAAGCCTGCTCTGTTTTAGGTTATATAAGGTGCCGTTTGTCTATTTGCTTTGAACTCATGCTAAATTGCTTAATTATGCTTGATTTGTGCAAAAGGGAGCCACTTGACATCATGTGTTCTTATGTCAGATTTTATGGAAGCTTAAAGCCGTTGGATATTTTCAAAGGTCATAATCTGATTAATCACCTTCAGAATTTGATTGGCACTTTAATATAAGGATGGAGCTTGTGAGACTTGTTTCTGAAAATGTATTCTGACACATTTCATTTGGATATGTCCTCAAGACCACATTTGCCATGCAATTATGCTTTTTACGAATGCCTCATTGCCTTTCTTTAATTTTATATCATTTCAGATATACTCTGATTCAACAGAGTATGGGGGAAAGGGGAATTAAATAATATAATATATTATGTATAAATTTATTTTGACAGTGGAACGTAATGGTAATAAATAATAAATTTAAAAAAAATTTAAAAAAATTCGAACAATGAAAGGGAATAATGACCAGGGGCTGTAAAAGTCCAAAAAGCATCTTAAAGTGGTCTCAGAACCAATTAGTTATTTTTATTTTTATTAATATTATTATTATTATTTCATTTTGTATTTTGTACATCCTTCGTTTTTATGTTTTTGAGTTGTATTATCATCATTATTATTTATTTTATTATTTTCCTGTCCAATGATAATTTTTGTTTGTATGCATGTCCCTGCTGTTCTAGTTAGTGTTTTGTTTTTTGTTTTGTTTTGTTTTGTTTTGTTTTGTTTTGGTTTGTTTTGGTTTGGTTTGTTTTGGTTTGGTTTGTTTGTTTTGCACCAGCATAAATGTTGGGGTGCAAAAACATTTGAGAAAGAATATTTCATGAGAAATAATATTTCTTATAAAGAGACAGTCAAAGCCGGGAATTCACTTTGCTATAGCATAGTCAAATAAATAATATAATATAATATAATATAAAATTGATTTAGATTTGTACATCACATGAAAGCTGAATACATAAGCTTTCCACTGATATGGTTTGTTAGGATAGGACAATATTTGGTCGAGATACAACTATTTGAAAATCTGGAATCTGAGGGTGCAAAAAAATCGAAATATTGAGAAAATCGCCTTTAAAGTTGTCCAAATGAAGTTCTTAGCAATGCATATTACTAATCAAAAATGACATTTTAATATATTTACGGTAGGAAATTTACAAAATATCTTCATGCAACATGATCTTTAGTTAATATCCTAATGATGTTTGGCATAAAAGAAAAATCAATAATTGTGACCCATACAATGTATTTTTGGCTATTGCTACAAATATACCCCAGCAACTTAACACTGCTTTTGTGCTCCAGGGTCACATATAATACAACATAATATAATATAACCTTGTCACACAATAACAAAGTAAATAAAAATAATGCAACAATCTTAAAAGACACTGCAGAAACTGATCTTGTGATGGCACTGATTTATATTATGTCGCCATCTTGTGGCATAATATATTTTGGTACCTCTCAGTTTCAGATGACAAGCTTAATAAAGGTACAAATATTGGCAAAAAGGCAACTAGATTTAAACTAGATCATTTGAGAGAAGTAGCTCTAAATTCATTGGTTACTCCCCGTGGACTCAGAATGCAACACTTTTATATATTCTCCACATGAATATGTGGATGTGCTTCAAGTGTTACATATCTGTTGCTATTATTATTATTAACACTGTTAATATTATGAGTGATATAGACACATGGTCATCCACTAATGAGGGGCCACAGGGGACATATGTTACATTTCCCCTCATCAGTGTCACCATGGTTCCTCTCTGTTGTTGCTTGGCAACCGTTTCATCCTGCAATTGAAGCAAACATCAAAGACTCCATGATTTAAAATCATCCAATTACACAATGGGATAATTTGAGATGAAATACTATGTGATATAGCCTTTCATTGTTCCATTTCATTATCACAATGAATCCATCATAATCAAAAATAGTCACACTCATACAGTCCTTCAAATAGCCAGGACTATTCGCCCTTACAGAAATGTTCCACGGTCACTGGATTGTATCCATATAGTTGCCTACAATACAGTTTGTAATACTTATACAGGTTATAAGTCTGTTTAGAAGTATAAAAGATTTACAGGAGAAAAAAAAATCATTTTGAGGTATGGAGGTAAACAATCATGTCTGGCTTATTAATTTGATCTGTGATCATGTTAATGAATATTAAATGATATAAATCAGAATCAGCGGGTTATCTTGTTTAATTTGAAATAATATAATGCTGTGTAGTAACTTATTACATGTAACCATAATCAGATTACAGTTACTTTTACTAGTTACTTTTCAGGATTTCAAGTTATTCATGCAACGGAAGTCAATTCTTTTTACATTTTTTTGTTCATGTTCACGTTTGTTCCCAAACCTTTTGTCAGTCAGATACCTTTGACCTAAAATATTTACTGAGATTTCAGATTAATATTTCAATCATTGTACAACACGTGTGTGTTCTCTAATGTTGGTTTATGGCCTTACATTTTAATTCCCTTTTATTCTCTTTTGTCCAGTTGTCAAAAGTACTCTAAAAGTAATCCAAAAGTAGTCTGAATATAATGAGTAATCTCGATTATATTAATATAACTACAATTTTTAAACATGTAATTCGAAACCAGTAACAAATTCCAATTTGTAAGTAATCTACCCAGCACTGATAATATAACAAGTTTTTCATCTACACATTAAAACAAATAATAACAAATCAAATAAAAGTATATTTGATATCATGCATGCGCTCTGATTGCTCCACAGATGGGAAAGGAGTAAGAAACATTTTGTTTTGTTTTTCAAATTTCAGGCCCATCATCACCTATTTAATTTAATTTGACATCCAGTACAGTAGGTGGCGATAACGTTCCTAACGAGTTAGTTATTCACCATTAAACAAGAAGATGATGAAGTTATATTGAGGCGCTGTTCTCCTTGTGTCCGGTAGGTGGCGGTATGTCTGCTGGAACGCATCTACAGACAGCAACACAGAAGAAGACGAGGACGGGCTTTATTTACTTTTGTTGTCATCTGAGAACTTCGGGGGGGTTTTTATTTCAAGCGTTAAATATTAGACTTCAGTCGCGACAGAATCTGTTGTGAGGCTGAGAGAGAGGTTTGTGTTCCTCTGTGACTGAGGGCAGTGGGTAGCGGATCATAATTCATGGCCGAGGGCAGCAGCAGTCTGAGCAGTGCTCCTCCAGGAGACCCGCAGCTCATCGGGCTCATAGTGCAGCATCTGAAGAACAGAGGCTTGTTTGATGAGTTCAGACGAGACTGTCTGGCAGACGTGGACACGAAGGTGAGGTCTAGTTGTACATATAAACAACCGAGGCTGCTTCTCAAAACCTGGTGAGCTGCCCACCGCATTTCTGGGCAGCTTAGGCGCCCATATCAGGCACCCTGTCTATTTAGGCAACTCACTCGGTTTTGAAACACTATCTCTCTCTCTGTGTGTGTGTGTGTGTGTGTGTGTGTGTGTGTGTGTGTGGGCGCTGATTTATGAGGACACAAATTTGTATAATGACATGGGTATGACAGGTATTACAACGAGAATGTGATTTATGAGGACATTTTGAGTGTGTGTGCGTGTCTGTCTGTCTGTCTGTCAGTCATCTATCTATCTAATGTCTGTCTTTCGGCCTGTCATTTATCTATCTGTCTATCATTTTTGTCATTTATCTGTTCTTTTGTCTGTGTCGTTTACCTATCTATCTATCTATCTATCTTGTTTATCTATCTATTTCTGTCTGTGACTGTGAATGTGTCATCTGTCTTTTCTTCTATTATCTGGCATCTGTTTTTCTCTGTCTGTCTATCATTTTTGTCATTTGTTCTTTTGTCTATCTATCTATCTATCTATCTGTCCATACTCTGTCTGTCTGTCCGTCCGTCCGTCTTGTTTAAACTGACATGAATTCATCTCTCTCTCTCTAGCCAGCTTTTCAAAATCTGCGACAGAAGGTGGACAACTTTGTGTCCAATCATCTCAGTACTCAAGAATGGAGTCCGTCCATCAACAAGAACCAAGTGAGGAATGGCTTGAGACAAAGCGTAGTTCAGTATGTATCAACTCAGTGGCCACTTATCGTTTTTGTATACTTTATTGTGTTGTGCAGTGCTATACTGCAAGTCTGAACTGTAAGATTTGTCTTAAATATTTTGAATTATACACGCTTGGCCTTTTCGGCGCAGTGTGACATTTGTGATGTTTTAGAGAGCTCATGTTAAAAGAAAGGTAGCTAATGCATTGCATGAGTATATTTAATAAAATGTTGGTTTCGTTTCCATTGTTATTGAAAACATTTGCTTATTCTCACAGGTCAGGGATGTTGGAATCAGGGGTGGACCGTATCATTACTCAGGTGGTGGACCCTAAACTAAACCATATCTTCAGGCCACACATCGAGAACGCCATTCATGATTTCCTAGCAGCAGAGAAGAAAGAAGAGGGCGCACCAAATTCAGCCCCTGATGCTGAACAACAGGAAACGACTAGCAACACTGCAGCCAAAACACAATGAGGTACAATAAATGTGTGCTAAGAAATGTTGAAATAAGATGCTTATATCATCTCATATACAGGTACATCTCAAAAAATTTGAATATCATGAAAAAGGTCAATATTTTGTGTCACTCATTTCAGAAAGTGAAACCCATATATTATATAGATTCATTACACATAGAGTGAAATATTTAACATGTCTTTATTATTTCTTTATTTCTTAATTTTTTTATGATTATGGCTTACAGATAATGAAAACCCAAAATTCAGTATCTCAGAAAATTAGAATATTACATAAGATCAATAAAAAAAGGATATTTCAAACAGAAATGTCAGGCTTCTGAAAAGTATGTTAATTTCTATGCACTCAATATTTGGTTGGGCCTCCTTTTGCATGAATTACTGCATCAATGCGGCGTGGCATGGAGGCAAACAGCCTGTGGCACTGCTCAGGTGTAATGGAAGCCCAGGTTGCTTTGATAGCGGCATTCAGGTCATCTGCATTGTTGGGTCTGGTGTCTCGCATCTTCCTCTTGACAATACCCCATGGATTCTCTATGGGGTTCAGGTCAGTCGAGTTTGCTGGCCAATTAAGCACAGTAACACCATGGTCATTGAACTTAAATTTTTTTTAGATGTACCTGTAGTACTGGAATCAAACAAAAAATAATACTTTGTGCACCCCTAATATTGAAATTGTTGTGGTTGAGGTCAACATGTAAAAACATGACACAATGTTTTTCCTGCATGTAAAACTACGTCATTTTCCAGGTACAAGGATACACTTTTTGCTGTCACATGAAGATCACCAAAAGTTGTCCTTCCATGCCTGGCTACAGTGGATGAACAGTTGCTGAGCACTAGAATATTGGAAGTTGGCACTAATTTAAGGTGGTTGGATTGATTTGATTTTTTTTTTTTTTTTTTTAACATGTTACATAAAAGCAGGTTGTCCGGTCGATGCTTTTGAAGTCCGGTTTAGTTTTTTCAGCACTAGAGAACAACTGAAGCTGATTTGTCCAAATTAAAATAAATCCATCTCGAAATAACATTGATATGATCATTTTTATTTGGACTGAAGCCAGACAGAAATTATCCTTTTTATACAGCTGGATTTGGGAAATACTTCTAATTTATTTATTGTAATATTCTAATGGGACTCATAGCAGCATTTCTACAATAAATGTAACTTTTTAAGAAAAGCCAAGTTTGTTGCATCATTTCTAGTATTGTAAAACCTCTGAATTACTGCAAGAGGTTACAGTTTGTTGTGGGAAACTTGCTACATAACGACATGCTCCTGGACTCCTTTTAGCAATGGCATTTTTGACAGGAGGTCTTCACCAGCATTTTTATGATTCCATCTGGACAACTAGAGCAAGTACCCTCAAGAGTTCACCATGTTCTGTACCATGCAGACACAGTGTTACATGATTGAAACCATTTGGGGCTAAAAGCTTGTCGATCCAGAGGCCGCATTTAAAATCTCCAGTGTCCTCGTGGCATGAACTTCCAGAGAAGAGCTTTTCGGTAATAGAAGAGCCTCTGGAGAGGTGTCATGTCCCGGCTTGGGACAAAGGTCGACTGCTCCAGCTTGTTTCTGTCTTTCAGCACCTCTGCTCTGAGAATGTGCTGTACAGTCAGATGCTCGGTCGGATTGCTAAAGAGCTTTGGTCACGTGTCTTTTGACATTCGCTGCTTGTTGCAGTAAAGCTCTTTGCAGCAGGAGCTGGATCCAAATTCTTGAGGCACTGTTTTACAATTGTGCAGCTGCAGATATTCAAATCAATTTGATTCTGTTGTAAATATGGTCGGTAATGGGATGCACAACACGTTGTTGGTAATGTCCCATCCACAGACTCTGGATTCTCATTCGCTGTGCTTGATCGCAAAATGTTCTCTATAATAGCCCAGGTGCAAGCTCATACTGTATTTCCAGCACTGGTCTTGGCAGTGTTACTGCCGACTCTGTCCTGAACCCAGCGTCCACTCATGCCTATTAAGATGCTTTGCTGTAGTTCCTCCCCATCTGATGAAACCTGATCCTGCTCTCATTTGAAAGCCACAATGGGAATTGAGGGACTGTGCCGAGCTGTCAGCAAGCTCCTAGTGGAGCCTGCCAAACATCCAAAGCCATGTGTTCACCTTTACAATTTTGAGAAGTGTAAGATTAAGGCCAGTAGGGGGTGTGGTTTTGCTGTGTTTAATGATGTTGTTTAAGCAGGTATTTTATTGAAAAATTAAAATTAAAAAAAATTATTTATTCGCCTTTGTTACTGTATAACACGAAAGGTGAATCATTGAAGCATATTCTGTCCAATGAAAGTGAATGGAGTCTGGGGCTGTCAAGTTCCAAAATGAAAGAAGCACCATAAAGGTGGCCCATGAACTTCATTTCATGTATTATGAAGTCACACAATAGTTTTTTGTGATAAGCTAAATAAAATTTACTTTGTTATTCACTTAAAAACATCTTGGATGCAAAACACCATTTGTTCTGGCATTGTAATATTTGGTTTGAGAGCTGTGGCATAGGCTACCTAAATTTGATGGTCTCAAAAAGCTATTGTATAGCACACAAATCATATAGTATGTATTTTAATGATGCTTTTTTTGTTGTAATTTTGGAGCCTTACAAACCCATTTCCCTTTATGTTCTTTGTATGGAAAGTGTCCAGAAATTTTTTTTAAAAATTGCACCTATAAGAAAGAAAGTCAAATGGGTTTGGAACAGCATAAGAGTAAATGAGGACAAAACTCTTAAGAATTTCTTAGATTTTTTTCCCCTAAGACTAAACTGGTTTTAGAGTGACATCAGATATTATTTTATTAATATAATCCACCTGAAAATGTGAAACTGTTGTATTAGTTTATCATTTTACCCTTCCTATAGTACACCCAAATGTACAAGGGGTCATAAGGACAAATTTTGAAGATCCAGCTATGTTAGCAGCTCTTGTGTTATTCCAAGAATTATGTGTAGATTACTGTGCAGATGAATTACGGTCTCCGATTTCATCCCCCATCAGCTCTCAAAGTGTCGAAAGAAGTTGTCCAATGTTGAAAACTTGCACTGTGTGAGGAAACAAGTGACACAGCACTTTTGGCCTCGGATATGCAGCAATTAAATCTCGCTGCCCTTGGAGAGGGTCGGTAATGTAGTGTGAAATTGTATGTTTAGGGCATCGGTTGGGGGGGATGTCTCAGCTGACATTGCATTTGTCTTCTGGACATTATAAATCACCAGAGTAATTACCGAGTGGGGACAGGAGGGAGAAAATCCAACCGCCCATCCACCCCCAGCCTCTCCCGAAACACAGCTGCTGATCGCTCTCGAGTTGGCCTTCCAAAGCTCAAGCCACAACAATGAAATCCCCATTCCTCAAAAAGTCCTGCTGCATCTGTTGAGTTTAATTGCACTTCAAATTTTCTCACCCCATGGCGGAGGAGATTCATTACAGTGGCAAACTATATCGGCCCCGTTCTAACTTTTTCTGCCCAGATGTTGAGGAAGCCCAAGTGAATTGTCCCACTGAACAGGAAAGGTAATTTTCAATGCAGCTATTTGTAGGAACAGAGCAGCACAGGAGTCATATGTTGCTGAAGGTTGTCACCAGTGTTGGGGGTAACGCATTACAAGTAACGCGAGTTACGTAATCAGATTACTTTTTTCAAGTAACTAGTAAAGTAACGCATTACTTTTTAATTTACAAGAGAATATCTGAGTTACTTTTTCAAATAAGTAACGCAAGTTGCTTTTTTTTTTCTATTTATTGACTGACAGCTCTCCTGTCCCCATGCTGAGAGAAATCAGAAGATGTTACTGTAGTTCTAAAATAAATATGAATATGCATTAATTCATCTCACTCACACAAAAAACACAGATTCAGTATTCCTCAAAATGAATACAAATAATGCAACTCAGAATATGACGCAAACCTGCAGTAATTAAATGTTAAACAACACAAATATACTTTATGTATTTAATCCCATTCTATTAACCAATGTCTTTGCTTCTGACCTTCGATGATCCAGTTCAACCGTACTAATAAGCACAAGTTACTCTAGACAAACATTTGTGTGTCTTTTTTTATTGCTGAAGTGTGTTGAAATGTCTTCTTCTGCATTCTACTGTACGGACGTAAATGTACTTTCCCTTCAGCCTGAGGCTTATTCATTTTACTTTTGGTGTGAAAAGGCTTTTATATTTGCCAAAAATAGAAATGTTTTAATTTTCCAGATTTTCCTGCAGAGTTTAGCTACAGCCAGCTCCAACACACTTGCCTGGAAGTTTCTGTCCAGATTTTAAAAGTAACGCAAAAGTAACGTAACGCATTACTTTCCACAAAAAGTAACTAAGTACCGTAATTAGTTACTTTTTTATGGAGTAACGCAATATAGTAATGCATTACTTTTAAAAGTAACTTTCCCCAACACTGGTAGTCACCATGGCCTAAATAGTTTCCCAGGATGCTACATTGTGTAACATGTTAGTGTTACTGTACTCTAATTACACAGCTCTCCGGATATCCTGATTCTTGACGGGTCAACCACAAAACACGAGCAAGAATGCTGTTTCGATATTCAGACCAAGTACGTGATTGTGGATGTGTGCATTTCTGAAGCTCAAAATTGTAGTAGAGCATGGCACTAGCAATGCCAAGGTCATGGGTTTGATTCCCAAAAAATGCATTAACGGATTACTAGAATGCAATTGGATCAAGAGTTTTGTGTTAGGGTGAAACAGTTCCCTAAGCAGATTTCGCTCTTGTTCAAGTTGGTCACGTGAATTTGCACTGACCAACATATAGTGATAAAAGCATCTGCCAAATGCATAAATGTAAATGCAACAGTTCAGCTTAATATTTAGTAACTCAAACATTTTAGACGCAATATTTTGTGTATTATTTGTGCCACTAATCAAAATAGTTCTAAACAAAGTCAAAAGCCCAATCAATCGTTGAGACTCCTAGCACAGTGGTTCCCAAATCTGGTCCTGGAGGCACCTCAGCACTGCATAGTTTTCATGACACGCCAGTTTCAGTTCTTGGAGTCTCTACTAATGAGCTGATGACCTGAATCAGGTGTGTTTGATTAAGGAGACATGCAAAACGTGCAGTGTTGGGGTGCCTCCAGGACCAGGGTTGGGAACCACTGTCCTAGCAACACACAGAGGTGAAACTTCGTTCCCGAATGAATCAGTGTTTTGAACAAATTGGTTGAGTGAATGATTCAGTGACTCACTCATAAAGATAGTTGTTTGTTTTGTTCCTGAATTGTCACCTGATGGACCTTTGCTATGTAAAATACACTTAAAGGGTTAGTTCACCCAAAAATGTGAATTAGCCCATAAATTACTCACCCTCAAGTCATCCTAGGTGTATATGACTTTCTTCTTTCAGACGAATCCAGTCGGAGTTATATTAAAAATTGTCTTTGATCTTTCAAATTGTTTAATGCCACTCAGCAGGTGTTGCATGCTTCAGTCCAAAAGAAGTGAAATAAAAAGCGCCCATCCATAAAAAAAAGTGTCTCACACGGCTCCGAGGGGTGAACAATAATTTTCATATTTGGGTGAACTAACCCTTTAATATTCAGTAATATCATCGATTTGAAGGCACTGACTTAGGTGAGAAGAAATCTTGAACTGAATTAACCTGAATAATGACGCTGTTTTCTTCTGTAGGGCTGCTTTACAGCTAAATTGAATTCATTCATAATTCCTGAATTTTGCAGCATTGAGAGTGTTACTGAACTGAAATGAATCATCATGGAACATTGATAATTACACATTAACATTGTCTTCCGTAGAGCTGCTTATAGCTGAATTGAACTTGTTTCATAATGAATGAAATTTACAGTTATTAAACTGAACCAACCAACCATTGTCTTGCTAGAGCTGCTTTATAGCAGAGTACAGACAAGCAGAATGATACAAACAGTAAGTAATATGAACTACTTCAATGACTGATTCGGTTATACAGATGTGAACACATGGTGACTGTTGAATTCTGACACATGGTGAATTCTGCAGTTGAGTATCGACCTCTTTTAGGGTTTTAACCTTTGGCTTATAAGCTCAAGAGCCTCGTGCATGAAACGCAACAACCTTTTTCAGATTTATAAAACCCCATGTATGCCAGATCCTGGCCAAAGTTCTTGTTA